TGGATCACCCTGCCTCGGTGGGAGACGGCCGACTTGTATAAAAAAAAACACTCGTACGGACAGACACACAGACAGACAGACAGACAGTCAGTCAGTCAGTGGAACTTCTACTTACAAGTTTAATCCATTAAATGACCTTGCTCGTTTGCAGAGTCACTTTTCCTCATTTAAATTACGTAATTGAAATGCAATTAATCCATTCCAGCTCTCAGGAAGCATGACAAAATACTTCATGATTTTGCTAATATCATCTATATGACTTATTTATCTATCACAATTCAGAAACCTGATATGTACTCTAGAATGAAGATGTCATTCACGTAGTGGTATTGTAGGCATCGACAGCAGACGAGTTTGTCTGGAGACAGGACAAAATACTCCTTGAATATTTCGCTAATATCAACTCTATGTCTTATTTATATATATATATACGCTGGACCCTCGACTAACGATAAAATCGGGCAACGATGAAAAACTCGGGTAAGGACATTCGTCCCGAACGCATCCGCCTGTCTGTCCAGCCTGCGCACGCCTCAGCTGCCCTGCCTTCAGCTAGTGTGCCATTGTTTACAAGCCACTGTGGATGGTTCCATGTGTACCTGTGATGCATTTTGTATTCCAGTGATTTTAGTGCTTATAACTGCTAAATAAGCCACCATGGGCCCCCCAAAAAACTTGTATCTGTCTCTGATTATCTCTCTCTCTGTCTGCTTGTCTCTTTCCATCTCTCTGCTTGTCTGTCTCAGAGAGAGCCACTGTGAACCAACAGGTATTCTTATGTTTTATATCTACAAGCACAGTATAGCACTTCAGATTTTTTTTAGGTTATCCTAGGTAATTTACACTGTATAATTGTATTTGTGTGTACCTGTGAGACAGAGACAGAGACAGACAGAGATAGAGACAGACAGAGATAGACAGAGATGGATAGAGACAGAGACAGATATAGACAGATAGCCCTTTCAGGGTCATGAGGCCCTCTCCTAAACTCATTCTCAGGGTTGAAAATTTTTCGGAAACAAAAAATTATTTTTTCTTATCAAATGATAAAGAATCTTTTCCCAATCATAATGACACCAAAAGTATGAAATTTGATGGTAAACTTACGGAATTATGCTCTCGCGAAGTTAGCGGTCTCGACGATGTTTACACATAGGCGATTTCGCACACTTTGAGCCCTATTTTCGGCTAATTCCTGTGTACTAGTCGACAAAAATCATATTTATTTCGCTAGAACTCCATTTTTTCTATCAAATGAGTACAAGAAACCACCCATCTATCAATTTCAACTATCCAATAAAGTGGTTAGAAATTGGCAATTTTGCCAATTTCACACAAATTTCAGATGTCAATTTCCAAATAGGGTCCAGAATAAACAAGACAGACATTCCTGGCACTAAAATAACAAGTTCTCTGTTCGTTAGTCACATCTCCAGGCCCCTCTTATATTTCTTTTGCTTTCTACTTTGAATTTTTATTCTCACAAAAAATAGAAGATTTACTGTTATGCAGACTACTGCATTAGTGTAGAAATGGTATAAATAATATCAGTGCACTTGTGAAAGAATATTAGACTCACCAGTTGACGTGTATTGGACGCTTGGCATGATTTGTTTACTTTTGAACTTTGGTAAAAATCGAACATTTCTGCTACTTTGAGCTCAATTTCAAGGTACTTTTCATTGTGAAACCAGTCAAAATCATCTCAATTTCTGTAATATGTCTTCCATTCTATAAAATGTGACCAGGAAAACTAGAATACAACCATAAATACCATACGAAAATACACTGGAAAGTCGCTGTTTTAATCCAAAAACACGGTCAAAGTTTTTTTTTTCTCTCATTACGCACTGTGCTGCAGGATTTTTTTTATACTGCACACATGGATAATGAGAACCTTCAAAACTAGGGATGCCAAGCCCATGACGACACTCTTCAGGTCGCTTGTTCTATCTAAGCTGGAATATAGCTGCACACTAACAGTGCCTTTCAAGGGAGGTGAAATTGCTGACCTAGAAAATGTACAGCGAACCTTTACGGCATGCATAACGGAGATAAAACACCTCAATTACTGGGAGCGCTTAAAGTTCCTGAACCTGTACTCCCTGGAATGCAGGCGGGAGAGATACATGATTATATACACCTGGAAAATCCTAGAGGGACTAGTACCAAACTTGCACACGAAAATCACTCTCTCCGAAAGCAAAAGATTCGGCAGACGATGCAACATCTCCCCAATGAAAAGCAGGGGTGTCACTAGCATGTTAAGAGACAATACAATAAGTGTCAGGGGCCCGAGACTGTTCAATTGCCTCCCAGCATACATAAGGAGGATTACCAATAGACCCCTGGCTGTCTTCAAGCAGGCACTGGACAAGCACCTAAAGTCGGTACCTGACCAGCTGGGCTGTGGCTCGTACGTTGGATTGTGTGCAGCCAGCAGTAACAGCCTGGTTGATCAGGCTCTGTTCCACCATGAGGCCTTGTCACAGACCGGGCCGTGGGGGTGTTGACCCCTGGAACTCTCTCCAGGTAAACTCCAGGTAAACACTGACCACATAGACCCATTCTTTCACATGTAGGCCTACCAGCTTTCTCTCACTAGATTTGAAGGCGCTAGAATTTAGGCGTTCTAGTACATCAATAACCCTGGTGCGTAAGCCATACTAGTACATCGGAAACCCTGAAAGGGATAGACAGAGACAGCCAGACATAGAGGCAGATAGAGACAGACAGGGACAGATAGAGACAGATACAGATTATTATAATAATGCAGTAGTCTGCATAACAGTAAATCTTCTGTTTTTTGTGAGAATAAAAATTCAAAATGGAAAGCAAGAGTAACAGAGGGGCCTGGACACATGACTAATTAACGTAGAAAATGTTATTTTAGTGCCGGGAATGTCTACCCTGTTTGTTTTTGACCCTATTTTGAAATTGGCATCTTTTGAAATTTGTGAAATTGGTCAAATTGCAATTTCTGACCACTTTATTGGGTAGTTGAAATCGATAAATGGATGGTTTCTTGTACTCGTTAGAACAAATGGAATTCTAGCGAAATAGCTATGATTTTAGTCGACTGGAACAATGGAATTGGCCGAAAATAGGGCTCAAAGTGGGCGAAATCGCTGATGTGTAAATATCGCCGAGATCACTAACTTCACGAGAGCATAATTTCGCAAGTTTTCCATCAAATTTTGTCCTTTTGGTGTCATTACAATCGGGAAAAGATTATCATTTCATAACAGTGAGTCAAGTATCAGGGGTCTCGACACTGAAAGGGTTAAGAGTAAGACAGAGAGCAGGATCACAGATGAACAAGGAGGCTTTAGGAAAGGTAGGGGGGGTGTGTAGATCAAGTGTTTACAGTGAAACGTATAGGTGAAAAGTAAGGGTTAAGGGGAGGTTTTTGTGGCATTTATGGATTTGGAAAAAGGCATATGATAGGGTGGATTGGGGGGCAGTGTGGCAGATGTTGCAAATGTATGGAATAGGAAGTAGGTTACTGAATGCAGTGAAAAGTTTTTATAAAGATAGTGAGGCTCAGGTTAGAGTATGTAGGAGAGAGGGAGATTATTTCCAGTAAAAGTAGGCTTTAGACAAGGATGTGTGATGTCACCATGGTTGTTCAGTATATTAATAGATGGGGTTGTAAGAGAAGTGAATGTTTGGGTGTTGGCAAGAGGTGTGGGATTAAAAGATAAAGAATCTGATATAAAGTGGGAGTTGTCACAGTTGCTTTTTGCTGATGACACTGTTCTTTTGTGAGATTCTGAAGAGGAGTTGCAGAGGTTGGTGGATGAGTTTGTTAGGGTATGCAAAAGAAGGAAATTAAAAGTGAGTAGAGGAAAGAGTAAGATGATGAGGATTACAAAAAATTTAGCTAATGAAAGATTGGATATCAGATTGGAGGGAGGGCATGTGGAGTAAGTGAATGGTCAGTGCTATGCATAGTATAAGTGGCTTTGGCATACTGCTCTTATCTGTATTTTTTTGTACCTCTGTATGTGTGCTCAAATTGGAAATAAATAAATAAATAAATGTATGTATTCAGATATTTGAGAGTGGACATATCATCAAATGGGTCTATGAAAGATGAAGTGAATCACAGAACTGATGAGGGGAAAAGGTGAGTGGTTCACTGAGGAATCTGTGGAGACAAAGAACATTATCCATGGAAGCAATGACGGGAATGAGCGAGAGTATAGTTATACCAACGCTCTGATATGGGTATGAAGCATGGGTGGTGAATGTTGCAACAAGGAAAAGGCTTCTGACAATGGAAATGTCATGTCTGAGGGCAATGTGCTGTGTGAATATAATGCAAAGAATCCTTAGTTTGGGAATTAGGAGGTGCAGGGTTACTAAAAGTATTATCCAAAGGGCTGAGGAGGGGTTGTTGAAGGGGTTCAGACATTTAGAGAGGGTAGAACAAAATAAAGACTTGGAGAGCGTATAAATCTTCAGTGGAAGGAAGGTGTGGTAGTGGTAGTTCTAGGAAAGGTTGGAGGGAGGGGGTAAATGAGGTTTTGTGTGTGAGGGGCTTGGACTTTCAGCAAGTGTGTGAGGGTGTTAAATAGTAGTGAGTGGAGACAAAAGGTTTTTATGACTTGAAGTGCTGTTGGAGTGTGAGCAAGGTAACGTTTATGAAGGGATTCAGGGAAACCGGCAAGCTGGACTTGAGTCCTGAAGGTGGGAAATACAGTGCCTGGACTCCATCACTGTCTTGTCAGAGGTGTAGGCACACCTCTGACAAGACAGTGATGGAGTGAGAGATGAAGAAGTTTCTTCTTTTTCGGGTACCCTGGCTTGGTTGAAAATGCCCGCTGTGTTAAAAAAAATATAATTATAAGGCACATTTGCTACAGATTGTTGTTGTGACAAGCATTAGATTAGTAGATTTGCCATCTCCACTTTGTTCATATCTTATTTCTGTAATGTAAAATGATTATACAAAAAGCATTGGATTCATTGATATGACACTTGTTCTTTGTCAGCAGGAAATTGAGAGTCAGCTAATTCGACCGGGTGTAAGCTATGAGAATCGAGTCAGTGCTGTGCTGTCTGGTTGGGAACACCTTGCTGGCACTGTTCAAGGAGATGTTAGTGAAGTGCAGCCTCTTGCAACCTTTCTGTACAGGTGAGCTTACTATGCACAGTTATTAACCAATTTATGAATTTCTGTGACTTGTACATACTTGAAGTACATATTTATTATAGTATAATAGACCTCCCTCATGGGGTTTCTTGATGCTGGTGAGGGGTTCTTGACCAAGGAATTGGACTTGTTTCCCCTTTCTTGGATTTAATGTGATTGCCTCCCTTTCCCAGACACTGTATGAACCCCTATAGGTTTAGTACTTCTTATATTGATAATATCATTAATGTAAATGATGATAAATGTATGTTTATTAAATAGCTTGAAATTTACTCTTGATTGTTAATAAGAGGCCATTAAATGGTTCATTTGATTTTGGGATGTTAAATATTTCAGTATATTGGTGTTGTATTTATTAGTTGTTGGGGAATGGATTATGTTGTATTTATATTTGCTGTATATGACAAAATGAAGTAAAAGTTGAGTGGATTGCCATAATGTGAAGAATTAAGAAAATTTCATTTTGAAAAGGCTTTTAAAAAATGAGAATAGGCTAAGAAAGAAATGTTTAATTAAAAGCTAGAGTTAACCCTTTCAGGGTTTCCAACGTACTAGTATGGCTTAAGCACCAGGGTTATTGATGTACTAGTACGCCTAAATTCTAGCGCCTTCAAATCTAGCAAGAGAAAGCTGGTAGGCCTTGTTATACAGAAAAGTGGGATAGCTGGGGGCTTGAGCCTTATCTAAGGGCAAAGGTAAAAGTTACACACATCTCAGGCATAAACAGGTCACCCAGGGCTATCCCAGTCAAAACAGAAAGCGCTAAACCAGTATTTGTTACTTCAGTGGGTTGGTTAATAGAGGGTTAGGCAAAAATCCTAGTTAGAAAAATATATCTATTTATTCAGCATAACACTATATACACACTCTAGGAACACCATCCTAAAACGCCCAAATGACGGTACACAAGAAACAGCTGGTTGGCAGTCCAGTAACCATAACACTCGACCTAGTCAGCACCAGGCCGACTCTACTCCAATACCAACCCCATTTCTTATTTCTTCACTCATCCCACTGCACCCTGACCATGTCAGAGCCCAGGTGGGCATACAGGTAAGCCATAGAAGAGCCTATGGCTTGGGTTAGCTAAACAAAAGGAGTACACAACTACAAACTTAGCTTAAATACACAGCATCTCCGATGCCAGTCTCCACACCATGCTGATTCCATGTGACTGCCCCAAGCCACGCTTACCCCACGTACCCAAACACAGTTGGAAAATAAATCCCTAGTAGGATTTCTTTATAATTATAGTTTAACCTACTTTACAGTACCCCCAAAAGCACATTATGAATTATAAAATTATGCTTTACAATTATAACATTCATACTATTATGACACCCTTCACTACTGTATATACATTACAGTGCCATGCAGAACCCTGCATAACAACATTACAATGTCATGCAGAACCCTGCATAACAGCCTGCATATGAAAGAATGGATTGATGTGGTCAGTGTGCACAGTATAAAAAAATTCTGCAGCACACAGTGTGTAATGAGAAGAAAAAAACTTTGACCGTGTTTTTGGTTTAAAACAATGACTTTGCACTGTATTTTCATATGGTATTTATGGTTGTATTCTAGTTTTCCTGGTCTCAGTTTATAGAATGGAAGATATATTACAGAAATTGAGAAGATTTTGATTGGTTTCACAATGAAAAGTACCTTGAAATTGAGCTCAAAGTAGCAGAAATGTTTGATTTTTGCCAAAGTTCAAAAGTATACAAATCATGCCACGCGTCCAATACACGTCAACTGGTGAGTCTAATATTCTTTCACAAGTGTGCTGATATTATTTATACCATTTCTACACTAATGCAGTAGTCTGCATAACAGTAAATCTTCTATTTTTTGTGAGAAAAATTCAAAGTGGATAGCAAAGGAAAAGTAAGAGGGGCCTGGGGACATGACTAATGAACAGAGCAAATGTTATTTTAGTGCCAGGAATGTATGTCTTTTTTATTTGGGACCCTATTTGTAAATTGGCATCTTTTGAAATTTGTGTGAAATTGGCAAAATTGCCAATTTCTAACCACTTTATTGGATAGTTGAAATCGGGAAATGGGTGGTTTCTTGTACTCATTCGATAGAAAAAATGGAGTTCTAGCGAAATAGTTATGAATTTTGTCGACTAGTACACTGGAATTGGCCGAAAATAGGGCTCAAAGTGGGCGAAATTGCCGATGCGTAATCATCATCGAGACTGCTAACTTTACGAGAGCATAATTTCGTAAGTTTTCCATCAAATTTCATACCTTTGGTGTCATTATGATCAGGAAAAGATTCTCTGTCTTTTCATAAGAAACAATAATTTTTTTTTTTCCCCCAAAAAATTTTCGACCCCGAGAACAAGTTTAGGAGAGGGCCTCTCGACCCTGAAAGGGTTAAATTAGACATCCATGTGTAATACAAAATGTAATTTTTATTCATTCTTTATATTTTGCAGAGGATCTTGTCAGGTGCACGAATGAAATTGAATATTAACCCTTAAACAGTCCAAATGTATATATGCGTTCTCTTGCGTAGCTCCCCAAACGTATATATACGTTTCATGTGTCATTCGTTCAACATTGGCACGATAGGCCTGAGTCGCGTAGACATGAGAGAATGGGTGTGCGCACTCATGTGTACGCCATATGAAAAAAATTGGGGATGCCAGGGTAACACATGCTCTTTTTTCCAATAAAAAAAAAAAAATTCTCAAAATATTCAGGGCACTACACGAGAGAATGTATACATACGTTTGAACTGTTTAAGGGTTAAAATAATTTAACCCTTTCACGGATTTTGACGTACTAGTACATCTTACGCGCCAGTATTGGTAACGTACTAGTACGCATAAATTCTAGTGCTCTCAGATCAAGTGGGAAAAGCTTGGTAGGCCTAGATGTGAAAGAATGGGTCTGCATGGTCAGTGTGCGCAGTATAAAAAAAATCCTGCAACACACAGTGCATAATGAGAAAAAAAAAACTCCGACCGGGTTTTTGGTTTAAAACAGCGACTTTGCAGTCTATTTTTGTATGGTATTTATGGTTGTATTCTCATTTTCTTGGTCTCATTTGTTAGAATGGAAGATATACAGTGGTGCCTCGAGTTTCGAACAGCTCCTAACTCGAACAATTATGTATGTGTATTTCCGTAATTGCTTTTGTAAGTGTATTTTTGGGGGTCTGAAACAGACTAATCTAATTTACATTATTCTTTATAGGAACAAATTTGTTTGGTATCAGCACTCGAACAGCCTTCTGGAATGAATTAAGTTTGTAACTCTAGGTACTACTGTATTACAGAAATAGAGATAATTTTGATTGGTTTCATGATGACAAGTACCTTGAAATTGAGTGCAAAGTAGTGAAAATGTTCGATTTTTGCTGATGTTCAAGAGTAAACAAATTACGCTATGCGTCCAATACATGTCAACTGGTGAGTGTAATATTCTTGCACAAGTACGCTAATATTTTTTATATCGATTTTAGAATGTTGCAGTAGTATACATAACAGTAAATCTTTTATTTTTTGAGAGAATAAAAATTCAAAATGGAAAGCAAAAGTGATGTAAGAGGGGCCTGGAGACTTGACTGCTGAACAGATAAAATGTTATTTTAGTGCCAAGAATGTTTGTCTTGTTTATTCTGGACCCTATTTTGAAATTGGCATCTTTTGAAATTTGTGTGAAATTGGCCAAATTGCCAATTTCTGACCTCTTTGAGTAGTTGAAATCAGTAAATGAGCAGTTTCTTGTACTCAGTCGATAGAACAAATGGAATTCTAGCGAAATAGCTATGATTTTAATAGACTGAAACATTGGAATTGGCTGAAAATAGGGCTCAAAGTGGGCAAAATCGCTAATGCGTAAACATCGTTGATACCGCTAACTTTGTGAGAGCATAATTCTGTAAGTTTTCCATCAAATTTCATACTTTTGGTGTCATTATGATCAGAAAAAGTTTCTTATCATTTCATAAGAATTTTTTTTTTCCAATATTTTTCGACCCCGAATGAGAGTTAAGGATTGAGGGTTTTGACCCTGAAAGTGTTGAAGATCATTGTTTTTTAACCCTTAAACGGTCCAAACTTATATATACGTTTTTTCAACATCTGAAAGTATGTAAAAAAATGTAGATCTTTTTTGTTTTACATTTGAAAACGTGTAAAAAAAACTTTTATCTACATTTTTTTGTTATATTTGAAAATATGTAAAAAAAGTAGATCTACTTTTGTAGCACTACGAATTTGAACCTCGATCTGTTTGGACTGTTTAAGGGTTAAGGAAGTTTTAAAGAGGTTTTAGTTCCATGGGTTATCCTAGGTTCTCTACACATATGCTGCTATGTATGATAATTCTATGTAACTGTATTTGTGTATTTTTTTTTTTTTTTTTTTTTTTCAACAAGTTCGGTCGTCTCCCACCGAGGCAGGGTGACCCAAAAAAAGAAAGAAAATCCCCAAAAAGAAAATACTTTCATCATCATTCAACACTTTCACCACACTCACACATTATCACTGCTTTTGCAGAGGTGCTCAGAATACAACAGTTTAGAAGCATATACGTATAAAGATACACAACATATCCCTCCAAACTGCCAATATCCCAAACCCCTCCTTTAAAGTGCAGGCATTGTACTTCCCATTTCCAGGACTCAAGTCCGACTATATGAAAATATATACCTGAATAAATTTACTTACTTACTTACTAAACGGTCCAAGCAGATCTACGTTCACATGTGTAGTGCTCCAAAAGTAGATCTACTTTTTTTGACATTTTAAAATATAACAAAAAAAAAAAAAAAGTAAATCAAAGTTATTTTTACACATTTTCAGATTTAAAAAAAAAAAAATCTACTTTTTTTACATACTTTCAAATGTTGAAAAAATGTATACATACGTTTGGACTGTTTACGGGTTAACAGGGCAGTTGGGGTTGCCATTTAATTTTATGAATGCTGTAATAACTCATGGTCAGTGCAGATCAGCCATA